CCCCCCAAAACCCCAAAACCCCAAAACCCCGTTATTCACAGAACTGTTGGATGCTATAATTTACAAAAAGTCATAAAGCCGGGATTTCTTCTTCAGGTACTTCTTCTCAAAATCACTGTTTTTCTTGGTATAAGTTTCTTCTTGAACTTTGTTATAGTTTCTCAGTTTTTCAGCCACCTATCAAGTTAAGAGAAGGAATTACAGAAGCAGTATGGATCATGGTCGGTTTGAGAGAAATTTCTTCAAATTTCTTTCTGTTATCTTCAGCTTTCTTCAATTTATCTTCCAGCAGCTTAATTATTTTATCCCCCTCATCTTTCTCTTGGTCACTATGAAAAGCAGCGAGTCCATATTTTGAGTTCTTTTTATCATATTTCTTGGCTAAATCCATGGAATTTAGTACAAAGACATCAGCTTACATTTTAAATCCCATTGAGACAAGAGTCGAATGAATCGTTTTAAGACATCTCTATTATCATCTTCCAAATTTGACTGTGGAATCTCATGTTCTGTAGTTAATTTTCCAACTGAAATCTCTTGCTTGGGCTTATTCTTACATTGTCTCTGTGCAACTAAATACATGAGCAGGAAATATAGCTACAATCTTGCTTTCTCTTCTCATCCTTGAAGAAGACCTTGATCCAGGCTGATGGGTGAAGGACCGATTTTTCAATACTGTGCTTGATAAATCCTCCTAATGTTTAGCATAGAAAGTTACTCTTTTTAGGAGGAAGTTTTGAAATGAATTGCTCAATAATTTTAGCCTTTTCCCGTTCTTGTTTTTGGGAATCTGTCAACATTTCTTCGTCCTCATGGGTGGGAGAACGATTCCTGGCAGATCTTATCTTGATTTGTTCTGCTTGCTTCTTTTTACGAGTGGCAAATAGGATATTGTTGACAAGTTTTGAAAACGTCATTTTTGGTCCATAAATACTCTTTTGTAATCACTTTAAGGCGTTAATTATTTCTTCCTTTCCTAGAGAGTAGATAGAACTTTTATACCTTCTTCATTTGAAAGCTTGTGCATTGATTGATGTCTCTTCATGATTCTCTTTGTTTCAGCAAGGTCCTAGAGATATTTTTAGGAATTCTTACATCAACAAGGTCACCTCCAGGATCACTGTGTTTACTCTCATCTGCAATGATCTCATCAATATACTTATCTGCTTCATCAATTTCTTGAATGAATGAATTCTTCTCTATCTTGTTTTGGTAAAAGAAGTTGTCAGGAGGTTTTGTGTAGGGGATTTCATTATGATCTCTGAAAAATTCGTTTGATCTTTTCCTTCTCATTCCTGAGTACTTATCAACTTGTGTGTTTGGAATATTCTTATTTAATTCTATCAACTACCATTTTAAATTCTTTTTCATTATTCCTCATTTGGGATTCATAAAGGTTGACAAAGCCATCTCTGCCTCAATCTTCGACGAGATTAGGATCTTTACAATGGATTTTATTAGCAAGAGTCATTGCAATATCTTTGCTTTTTGTCTCTCTGAGCTTGAGATATTTAAAAGCTAGTTGGTGATATTTCATATTTACCTGTCTCTCATCCAGTTTTGAGCTTGAGAGGATGCCCTACTTTATCTATCTTAACACACTCTTGCATATTCATTACACTTTCTTTCTTGCCTTCAAATGGAAGTTTTCTTTCTGAGGTTCCTCCAAAAGTATCCCTCTGCTCCTTCAGGTTGCATACACTTTTTAGCTTTCTATGAAGAGTTTTGAGCTCCTTTAAAGCTCCAGCAGTATTCTTTTCAGCCTCTTTGGCCTTTTTGTAAGATTCTAAGTGAGGAATTATTGATTTGGTTTTATCTTTCTCAACTTTATAAAACTTTTCAATGGTTCTATAGTTCGTACTAGATACATACTTTTCCTTCAAAGTTTTCTTATGCTTGTTCAATGCCGCCTGGCAGATATTATCCAAGCTTGTTTGGGAATCATTTCTTTTAAAGATCTTGCTTTTTGAGTTTTTAGGTTTTGGCTTAAGAAAATCCTCAAGATCATCTACAGAATTAGGGAGGAATTACCTTTGAAATCATGATCAATATAATTATGATCTTTATAATACTCTTGATCTTTGATAGAGTTTGGGTTGGATAATTTATGAATATTAGCCAATCTGAAGGAATTCATGTCTAAAATCTCACTATTGAAGGTTACCTTGTAGTTCAGGGTTGGACTCCCTATGCTTATTATGTTTGAGATTGATTAATCTTTCCTCCAAGCCTTTATTTTTCTTCTCCAACTTTCTCTTTGTATCTAACTTAAATTTCTCATTAGCAAGTATAGTTCTTTGGTGAGCTCGTTCAGAAGCAATGACTTTCTTAAGATTTTTAGACTCGAGTTGCTTCACTCTTGCTTGTTTTAGTTGAAGGACAGCTAGGTTATTTCTGTCTGAGCCTCTCTTCCCCTTTCTTATCCATCCTCATTAATTTTCTGTGTCTCTAGATGATTAGCAGGTGACTTGCTTCTTTGCGAATTCTTATTCTATTCCGTTCTGCTCTCTCTTGGTATGAGCTATTCCTTCCTTTGATATACCTATTTCATAGCTTAGACTAGAGAAGTGGAGAGAAGTTAAGTAAATTTCGTTATTGTAGAACGTATCATACTCAGCTTTACACTGGAGGAGAGCATTTTTAAAAATGATCTTGGATTTGCCTTCTATATCAATGAGAAACTAAGAGCTACCATCAAGCCTATCAGTCTTTGCAAGTGACATGAAGAAATAATTCAATTTATTATTTTTTATCTGGGGTTTTGGGGTTTTGGGGTTTTGGGGTTTTGGGGTTTTGGGG